TGCAAGTTGACAGACCCATCAGACAGCTCAGCCAGTGGACAGCACTACTCAGTTGAATAGATTAACGGTAACGTCAACCCGTCACTCCAAGCTTGACTGCATCATGTAGACTGACATGCTGGTCAGACGATGCCTCGCACCCTCTATTTGGCCATCTTCCATCGCCATCTGTTTCCTGCCCATTGGGTCATATATAAACCCAACACAGATGATACTAGCTCGCCGGGCACCATGCTCCATGTCGAAGGTGATGTGGCGAATGGTTTTTCCCACACCGTAGCACGCAACTATGATATCTTGAAGACCAGTCGAACCTACACAATGATTACGCTCGGCCAGGTCGATAGTCAATATGTCAAAGACTACCCCAAGGGCGCATATGTTTCTCTTGCCCCCGTCCAAGCTATCGACAGGGTCGAACAGGTCATTCTCTCGGTCCCCGCGCCGGGCAAAAGCCTGAGGATCGGTGAGCTCGTCTTCAGCTATTTATGACTTCAGCTAATATTTACTCGTAGGCGGTCACCGCGGAGAAGGTGAAACAATCGAACTGTCAAGACTGGGTGAAGGAATGCGTCAAGGCACTGATAAACCTGGGTATGCAGCGCGTGGGACGTAGTTCCCTTCACTAAGGGCGGTAGAGCCTGATCACTGTTTCATTCGTGTATGATATAGGATATGCAGTCTTGGATGTACGGCCCATTTACCCGTTGTCGTGGAATGAGAGCCTGTTTGACTCGTGGGGACGCTTTTTTAAAGACACCGGCTGCAGTACAGCTCCCACCATCTTGTATAAATCACGGTGAAGGTACGATGAGAAGTGCAGCATTAATGTGTGACTGGTCCTCCATGCATTTCCTTGTCCGTCCTCAGCAGGGACTCGGAATCGCACCCTGCACTGCTACCATGCCACTATACAACACTCTGGCAGTGCGAGTTATATCACCCAGTGCAGTAGTCCCAATAGCCAACGTCCTCGTACACGTCCAGAAACATGGGAATATAGCGTGTCGCCCACTCGTCATCCTGTCTCACCAGGCGGACTGCTTTGCAACACTCAGCTGAAGGCCTGTTCGTTGATGCAGGCAGTGCCTCTTCTGGAACACTAGAGAGAAGTGATTATTGCCGTCAGCACTAGATCTTTACAGATACCGCATAAACGGCTCTCTGAATGTCTCGGCAGTTGTGCACGTCCGATTCACAGCTATAGCCAGGAGTGCGTAGCGTACGGACAGTGCTTCCGTTGAGCTATGGACCCGGCATGCTTCGCAAGATAGCCGTTCTTACATGCGCCTCAATATCTCTCTCCCTGAGCGCACTGACAGCTCGTCCATAAATCCTCTCCACCTCAGTGAGATACGCATCTGTGTTCTGGTCCTGCATATGGCCCGCAGGGACGTCGAGGGTGAACGATGGAGCGTAGAGGGGGAACCCGGAGTGGTCGGGGATGGGAGTGTCCACAGGGAGCGGCTCCTTCCGCTACATGAAAAACATGGTCAGCCAGCCAGGAGGGAGTTTCGTGCCCAGCGCTACTCACCGCAAGGGCCGTGATGTACGCCCAAGCGCGCGCAGCGTTCGGGCTGCTATACCCACCTACAGGGCACCTGCTATCAACACCGAATCACAGGGAGGAAGATATATAAGCGCACCTCCGCCGAGCAGAAGCGTCCTGCAGCCCCACGCGAGCACCCGCCCGACGCACCAGGCGAAGCTCCCCTCGGCCCCGGAGAGGCCCCAGTTCCACACGGCGTACGGGTCGCCCGCGAGGCCGTCGACGCCGCACTGGAGCACGACAAAGTCGGGGCGGAATGCGTCTTTGACGTTCTCGACTAGTTTCCATATCCTCGCGAACGTAGCGTCGGACGCGCCGCGCTGTAACGGGAGGGACAGGGTGTACGGGTTGAAGCCCTCCGCGGAAGGGTCGGGGAGGACGGCGAGCGGGGAGGCGGGGAAGAATCCCGGCGCGGCGTGGTGAATTGATAAATGGAGGAAGTGACTTGATGCTTGCGATGAGGACGAGGTGTGGAAGGCTTCGTAGACGCCGTCGGAGAAGTGCAGGTCGAGGTCGAGGTACATCACCTTGGGCTTCCTGAGGACTGCGGGGTTATGAGGGTCGGGAAGTAGTCGGCGGAGAGCGAGGATGGCCAGCACGCAGTCGGCGACGTAGCAGAAGCCGGAGGCTCTGGATTTTTGCGCGTGGTGCCTGCTCTGGGTGGCTGGGTAGGTCAAGACGGGAGAGAGGGAGGAGGGAGGGTGCGTACCGTCCGCCATCCCAGCAGATGGCGGTTTTGCAGCGGCCCTCGCGGAGGTCTCTGACGGCGGTGAGGGTCGCTCCTGCGACGTAGCGCACGTAATGCGGGAGGCCGGGGAAGGGCGGGCAATCCTTGCAGAGAGATCAGCGAGTTGAAGACTAAGACGAAACAAGTCAACGTACGTCTTCCATGCCATACTCCAGGACGTCATCCTGTTCCACGACGGCGCCGCTGGAGTTCTTGGGGTCGAGTATGAACTCGAGATAGTCGCGGGTGTGGTACGCAGCCAGGTCGTCGTATTGAGCGGGTACGGGTTTCACAACGCGTATCGGGAGCATTTCCTGGTCTTGATTGTGGGAGAGTAGACCTAGCGCGTTTATGAGAGAGTGTACGATCAGGGATCGTTTCTTGTTCGACGGCAGGAGTGAGCTGATCTACGAATCCGTTCTAGTTAGAGTATAGGGAGATCGCGCCTTTATATCTCACCTTTGCTAGTTCATTGGATACAACATAAGTGGTGGCCTCCATTGCAGCCTGAGCGCGCAATATTAATGGTGTATATACTTAACCCTGAACTGGTTGAGCGGCTAAACCCACCAAGTCCGATCAGGGTGTTGCAGGACTTGAATCGAGTTCACTGCAAATCAGCAAGGCAGTGGGATTATTGTCCTTGTAGCGTTCTTTGACCTACAAACCTGCAAAGGCAGCCTTGACTGTGGCACTTGTGGAAGACGCGTCGAGAGAGGTCTCCGGCAACTCCCGTGTGCAAATCACGTGGTCTACGCGTTGGTCGCCTGGCCGTTCTCGCATGGCAGACTTGAACCGAACGTTGTCTTTCATTTCAGATTCTTCTTGCCTTATGGAAAACACGCCGCCGGACGAGCTGAGCCCGTTTACCATGCGCAGCGCATCGCTATCCCACAACGCCGACAATATCTTGGATAATACCCGCAAGCACAAGAACATGGACAGAGAGAGTGGCCTCGCGACACCGCAGGTAGCCCCGCTGCACCCCAGCCAGATGCTGATCAGCCCGCCGCCTGAGGAGTTTTTAAGAGGCAGTCTGCGGCACTTGGTGTGTAATTTCTGCGTGCGGTACTGAGCGATCGAGGCTGATCGAGCGAGGTGCAGCCGGCCAGGGAGATGTCGCCCAGCCTACCGCGATCGAGGACAGCCCCGCTCGCGAGCAAGCCGAAACGCAAGCGCGCGCAGGTGCCGACGCAGGCGGCGTCGGCGTCCCCAGAGGGCGACGTCGATGCTGAGATTAGGTGTGTACGCCTTTCATCCTAAGCATCTTACTATCATCTCATGGCTTGACGACCCAGCAAAACACCCAACCCGAAACCCCGCAAACTATCCAAACGCCAAGCAGATACCCGCCTCGCCTCGCAGTCCTCGCCCACCCGCCCGCGCCGGCGCGCCAACTCAACCCAACCAAACCCTGGCGCCTCCGCTCGCCGCACACCCGTCCCGCGCATCTCACACACCGATCCCGTCTCGCCCACCCGCGCCGCGCGCTACTCCCCGCCCCGCGAGCGGTTCACCCCGCCGCGCGAGGTGCTGCTCGAATCCCCCACCAAGTCCAAGTCCACCGCGAAACCCAGGCAGAGAAAGTCGCATGCCGCAGGGAGCGCGAGTGCGAGGAAGAGCGAGGCGGCGCGGGTGAAGGTGTATGTGAAGAAGGAGTGCCCGGAGATCGATCTAACGAGGCCGCCCCCGCCGCCGTCGCCGACGGAGGATCCGTTGTTGTTGAGGGGGCGGCCGGGGAAGGGCAGGGGGAGGATGGGGGGCATGTCTTTGCCATTGTCTCCCGAGGCTGCGGGGGGGTCGAGCGCGCAGCCGATCGTGCTCGACGAAGACGAGGACGTGCAGCCCGCTCTGTTCGCTCACGACTCGACCCCCGCTGCGTTCACCCCGCAACCGCAGTTCGACTTTACCAGCTTGGACGCGGCGAGCGGGGATGATTCCGATATGGGCGAGGAGGGGGAGTATACGGGGAAGTATACCATGATGACCGTGCCGACGAAGGACACGGACGGGGCGGGGGAGGGGGGGAGTCCGTATCCTGCTAAGGTGGCATTGCAGGAGGATGTGGAGATGGAGGTGGAGGTGGATGTGAGGGTTGGGGTGCCACAATGTGAGGGTCCGGTTGTGGATGACGATTCCGCGATGCATGACAACGTCGGTGAGGAGCCTCCGCGGGTCGTTCCAGACCGTAGCCGCACCCGCAGTCCTAGTCCCAGCCCTCGCCCCTCCCAATTTCATGCTACCCGACCCCAAGCCCCGCTCCACGACGCAGACGCGGATATACCCGCCGACACCGAGGACTTGGACTCCCCCGAGCCCCATGTCCATCGCTCGTCCTCCCCGCGCACGTCGGAGCTCGGCGACGACCCCGTGTTCGCGCAGAGCGATGATTTCTTGCGGGACGTCGAGGTGGGCGAGGAGGGGCGGCAGGAGGAAGAGGAAGAGGATTCGTTCCGCAAGATGGGAAATGTCGGAGGGAGAGAGGAGACGGTGTCGACCGAGCCGGTTGACGAGTCGGCGCAGCCTCCCCTTTCCCGACCCATCGACCCCCAGCCTCCCAATCCCCTGCCCGATCCCCTGCAGACCCCCCTCCCCTTACCCGCCGACATCCAGCCGCGCGCGCCGTCTCCCCCGCCGGAGGACGACCTCGCGGAGGAAGAAGACGCCGTCGCGAACATGACGATGGACGGCCTCATCGAGCGGATGGACAGCGCGCTCGCGGACGGGGAGGACTGGGAGGCGGAGCGTACCGTCGACGGGATCCTGGGGAGGATGGACGGGGTGCTGAGGGTGTACCGGGAGAGGCGTCGTGCGGGGGTGGGGAGGGGTGGGAGGGGGGACAGGGACAGGAGGAAGTCGTTCCCTGGGCGGGCGTTGAGGCCTGGGGATCCGAGCTGGGAGGAGGAGGAGGGGGAGAGTGGGCGGGTTGGGTATGAGGATACGGATGAGGAGGAGGAGGAGATGGTTGATCGGGAGTTGAGCTCGGATCCGGTACAGAGTGATGAGGATGAGCAGGTTCGTATTGTCCGTTATGCCTATCCGTCGGACAACTTGAGTTGAATGATGTGTCTAGCCTCCCCCTTCCCCTGATTCCCCACCCACCTCTTTCGAACCCGACCACCTCCATCAGCCCCGTCAATCCACCTCAGCAAACAAGGAGGTCGGGCACGTCCTCCCAAGAGAACGCGCCGCGACACCCGAGTTCCTCCGCGCACACAAGGACAAGGTTGTGGTGGGCGCTGCTTACGGCGAGAGCGACGGGGAGGAGAGCGAGGAAACGGATGAGAGCGTCGTCAAGGTGGTTAGTACGGACCCGCGCGCGGCTGCGCGGGCTGCTGCGATTTTGAAGATGGTAAGTACCCCTCCTCCTCTATCCTCTTTCTGTGTCCCAACGTACTAAAAATCATTTTGGTGCATGGCAGCATGACTACGAGTGGCTGCCCAAGCCGCTCAAGGCTAACCGCTCCCGCTTGATCGCGGGCGATTACTTGAAGAGTATCCGCCGGAAGAGCGTGGGTGCCTCTGGCGTGCGGAAGTCGAGCGAGAGGAAGGGCGTGCTCGGGGATAGGGTGTATATACCCGGGAGCCCGGTGGTGAGTGTGGGTGAGCTGTTGAGGGAGGCGGAGGGGGAGGTGTCGGTTTTGGAGCAGTCGCATCTGCGCGATACGAAGCTTCGGGAGAAGTCCCGCTCTCAGGAAGCCGTCAGCAAGGGGAAGAGTAAGGACAGGGAGAAGGGGGGGTGGAGTAAGGACGACTGGAAGCTCCTCGATGCGTGCTTTACGGACGAGAGAGAGGAGAGGGGTGTCGGCGCGGATGCGGTGCGCGCTGAGGATGTCGTCAGGCGGTACCTTGCGCTTGTTGGGCACGCGGAGCCTGACAAGGCGGAGTGGTGAGTGCTGCCGTCGCATTCTTGTTCTGTGTGGTACAGATAGTAACTTTGTTTCATAGGGCCGTCCTCGTCGCCCGCGCCAACGCATTGAGGAGGAAACAAAGGGAGGGTCGAGGTGCCCCCGGAACGCCGGTCGTGCTCAAGTCCTTCTTGCGGTCTGCCTTCCAGCCCTCTGTATCTGCGTCTGCGTCCGGTGCTCCGATGAGCCCCTGGGTAGACGTACCGGAATTCACGCCCCTCCCTAGGAAGTTTGCGGATAGGACGAGGGATGAGGAGCGGTTAGAGAGACCGCGGTTGGCGGCAGCGGTGTTTGGAAGGTCATACAAGTCGCTGTTGGAGGAGGCGAGGAAGGTCGCTGACGGAGAGCAGGGCGCGGAGTCCATTGCAGATGTCAGCGTAGAGTCGACTGCGGAGTCAAATGGCGACTTGAGCACCAGAGCGGAGTCGGACACAAGCGTGACGTCTGCACCATCGCCCTCCCCGCCTCCTGCGCCTAAACCTGCGTCGAGGCCCAGTTTTGGTGGTCGCGTCAAGGGCCTGTTGTTCTCGTACCTTCCGACGCTGTCCAAGAAACCCGAGCCGGCGAAACAGCACAAACCTGCTGCACCGGGTATCCCGCTTCCTCTGCCCCCACCGGAAGTGCTGAACAAGCCACGCGGGCCCGTAAGCACGCCGGGCCCGAAGCCAGTGCCTCGCGCGGCTGCGCCGAAGGTCCCGCTGAAGGAGGTGGAGAAGGCGAAGGCGAGCCGCATCCCTGTACGGAGGAGGGAGGAGCCGAAGAGAATGGTGGAGTTGCGGAGTGTGGGGTTGCCAGAGGAGAGGGGGGATACGAGTGTGAGCAGTGAGAGTAGTGGACGACGGAGCTCAGCCGGGAGTGTGCGAGATTTGAAGGCTTGGTTTGAGGAGCGGGAACGGGCGGTGAGGGAGGAGGAGGAGAAGAGAAGGGCGGGGTTGAGGAAAGGGCGGGTATGAGTGCTGGACACATCCTTGGGTAGCATGCCTTATGTTGAGTTCATCTTTCGCCTGATGATATGCGGATTATGTATGTCTGTATTTATGTTGAAATTGGATATGTAGAGCATTTTGTTTATGTCTAAACTTGCCTATCCAAGTGCCACCGCTGCTGATTGGTCCGTTGGGACAAGGTCCGCGCTAGGGTTAGGGTGGCTGCACCGATGCTTTGAATTTTCGAATTGAGTTGGTCCGTATACGCGATTCGAGTCAAGTAAACCAAACTGGCCGCACTCGCAAGACGATGTCTCGGTTCCTCTGTACATAGCTTCTTCCCTTTCTCTCTCAAAAGCAAAAGCAGCCGCTGGCAGCATACCCAAGTAGCCACTTCCAACATGAACTGGTCTGTATCTGTCTTGTCCGCGCACACAGCGGACACCCACCCCTCGCTCGTGGTTACCTTCGACTCGGGCAAGTATATATTTAACACTGGTGAAAACACCACGCGAGCGTTTCTGCAGAGCCATAGGGGATGGAAGCGTTCTCGAGCCGTGGTACTGACACGCGTGGACACACGGAGGGCGCTCGGATTGCCAGGTATGTGGCCGTTTACTTTGCTATTATGTGAGCCTGACATTTGTACGGAAACCAGGTTTTCTGATGACCTTGGCTGATGCAAGCACCGCAAGAATGACTGTCGTCGCTCCGCAGGGCCTCATGCACTACCTGGCGTCTATGCGGCTCTATTTCTATCGGTACGGTGTGACTACCCTTCCGTCTATACTGTGATCTCACTCTGCTACGTACTCGACCTAGAAACACGCTCTCGTTAAGCCCGATCGAAGTCCCCATCTCCCGACCTTCGAGTTCGGACGCTGAGGCGGTCTACAAAGATGAAAACATGTCCATCTACGCTCTCCGTCTCTCTCCACCCTCTCCCTCTCCTGTTCCTATACCTACGCCCATACCCTCGTCCACCTCCGCCGAACGAAAACGCAAGCGCCCTCAGACCGGCCCGGCCTCCTTAGCCCCCGCAATCCCCCAGACCTTCTTGTCAAAAATCTCCAGCCTCTCGAATCTCGATCCCGAGCGCCTGCGTGGGCCGGAGCGCGACTGGTGGCGGTGGATCGTCGTGGAGCGCATGTTCAAGGACCTCGGCGTGCCTGCCCCCGAGGGACCGAAGAAGGAGAGTAGGGCGGCGAAGAAGCAGAAGATCGGCACCACGAGGCCCGCAGAAGCGAGTCAGGAGGAGGTTCGGAGCACGCTGGAGACGGATGGCTGCACGAGTCTCCCGGGCGAGCCGAGCGCGCCTGCGGTCCCCGTGCCCGCGGTGGAAGACGAGGTGGAGTCGGCGGTGAGGCAGAAGGCGGCGGTTTTGCCAGGCTGGTGGCGGCGCCTACCTACATTCTCGCTGGGATCCTCGGAACCCATACCTTCCAATGGTGCTCCGGCGGAGGGCCCTGTCCTGTCGTATATCCTCGTTGGCCCGCGGGTACGTGGGAAGTTCAACGCGAAACGTGCGGATGAGCTTGGCTTGGGCCCAGGGCCTCTGAGGGCCAAGGTAGCAAGAGGTGAGTGGGCTAGGTACGCTGGGGTTGCGTGGGTCGTCAGTTGTGTGTACCTCTCGCACGGGCTATGTCTTGCTGTATCACTATCTTGTACCCCATTGGTCATCCAATTTGGCTCTGGCTGACGCACATTCGGCGTGATGCAGGTGAGACAGTAACATTCACCGTTACCCTCCCCGATGGAACCAAAGAGGAACGCACGGTCACACCTCAGGACTGCCTTGGTGCCAGTGAGGCTCCAGCTGTGAGTGTCTGTCCCTCATCCGTCCTCTCCTCTTGGATTCTGTCGCAAATCGACCCCTAGATTGCAGAGCTGGATATTGATAAATGACTGATACCTGTAGGTGGTCGCAATTCTCGATGTTCCCTCTCCATCCTACATCCCGTCTCTCGTGACCGAACTGAAATCCTCTCCCGTCCTTTCTGGCAATGATGGAGAAAAGTACAACATCCGGCTTGTTGTGCACCTTTGTGGCGACGACGTTTGGGGGAATCAATATATTCAGGGTGTTGTCCGGTGCTTCCCTGCAAGCGTGCATGTGAGTTGATTCCCCGCTCATCGCTGTGTAATGTTACAGCGAAGCCATGGGATGTACGACAGAGAAGGCTGATGTGGGAGGCGTAGCATCTGGTATCCTCGAAGAAACACTCGCCAAACCCCGTAACGTTCACGAGTGCGGGGTATGCCCAGCTGAAGCTGAACCAGCTGGACCCAGATATGTTCCCCCTGCCGCAGTTCAACCTTGAACCTGAATTCCCACTGGACGGTGCGTCAACCTCCACCTCCCTATTGCAGTAAACCCTGACAGGCAGGTACAGCTCCGCCAGATTTGAACATACAGCCTCTCCGTTCTAATATCCTGATTGATATCCGTCCTCCGCGCGCCCCAGTGCACGAGCACGAGGCGGATGAGCGGGACCTCTTCCACCCGGGAATTATTGCGCCTGCGGAGAATCCCGTCCTCGGGGAAACTACAGCCGAACGATTCACGCGCGCAAAGGAGATCGTGAAGGAGAAAGAAGAGCGTATGAAACAGGCAGGCAGGCCGGCAAAGCCGGGCGATGATGTCTTGGTCGTCCCTCTAGGGACAAGCAGCGCAATGACGACGAAGTACCGCAACGGTGCGTGTCTGTATTTCAAACCGCCCAACCGTCAGCTAGCTGAATGGCACTCATAGTTTCTGGGACGATGATCACTATACCGGGGTATGGGAATATCTTGCTGGATGCGGGCGAGGGGTCATACGGTCAGCTCGCGAGGTCATACGGCCCTGGGGAGGAGGGCGTGGAGAAGGTCCTTCGGGAGCTGCGGTGTATATTCGTGAGCCACGCGCATGCGGATCATCACATAGGCTTGGCGAGGGTTTTGGCTGAGCGTGCTAAGGTAATGCTGTTTCTCCTCTTGGAAAGACGAGATGCTTATAATAGACCGTCAGTTGGATCCTCCTCCCCCACCGCTATACCTAGTCGCAAACGAACCTATCTTGCTCTACCTGAGCGAGTACTCCGACCTCGAGGAGATCGGCTGGAGGGATGGGAGCGTACGCACCATCTCCAGTGAAACGCTTGCCGTACCGTCGTCTGACTCGAGAATGGACAGCATCCATTCACATTACCGATACAAGTGAGTGCCCCACTGTATGGAACTAGGAGAGACTGATTATTGATGTGTCCTTGGGTAGCCAGGAGACTGTGGAGAGCCTTTATGCTGCATTAGGGCTGAAGAAGTTTTTGACTGTTAGCATGCGCCATCGGGTAAGGTGTTATGGATGTGTCATCGAGCACTTGGACGGCTGGAGCATAGCGTAGGTGCCTTCTTTGTTCTAAAAACTCCAGTATTGACTGAGTTATGTTGCGAAGCTACTCCGGTGACACGATGCCATCGATGGACCTCGTCAACGCAGCAAAGAACGCTACTCTCCTCATCCATGAGGCGACTATGGCCGACGAGGAAGCCGAAATGGCAGCTGTCAAAGCCCATAGCACCATAGGACAAGCGGTGGACATCGGCACAAAGTAAGTTCCTACGGACTACGCAGCTAATACGGGATAATTTCTGACGGTTATCCTTTGCTTAGGATGAACGCCGAAAACATCTTGTTGACACATTTCTCCGCTCGGTACCCTAAAATGCCCCCATCTCTGACGGAACCCAAGGACAGCAACAGCGCCCAGCCGATTATCGCGGTCGCCTTCGACAATGCGAGGATACGAATCGGGGATATGTGGAAGCTGAACACTTACCTCTCGGCCATCGAGTCGAGCTTCGAGGAGACTCCTGATGCCGATGACGAAACTGAAAAGGGCGATAAATCTTAGTCATGTTCCGGCCGCTCAGATTGCGCAGTCTTACCACTGTGGACGCTAGACAGGGTATCAATCCCTTCGCAACATCACATTACGGCAAGTAAGTGCCCAGTAGAGTAGAGTAGCACATAATAGTCGTGACGGTCATGATTTCGTGTCTAACAGAGTATTGTGTAATGACTCAAGGAAAGAGAGCACATGCCTGGCGTCCTGCATCGCATGCATGGTGCTCTCGCTCGCAGTTGTATCCTTCATGTCTTCATCCTGGAGCTCGCCGCTTGCAGCATCACTCTTTGACAACCTCTTGGCAATCTCTGAATGCAAGGACAAGAGATTGCGCCCATTGGTAACCAACGAATCCAGTCTGCGTTCGTCGGACTTGCTAGGGAGTGATGCTAGAATCATGGAGCGGTTTGTCGGGTTGTCTCGCATGAGTAGGCCCAGGAGTATCGCCAGATGACCGTATAGAAACTGCATGCCGATATCAAGCTCATCTGTTGAATCGGCGCTTTGACTGAAGATGGAGCATAAGCACTTCAAGCCAGAGACACGGTCCGCACAGCAGCATGCGTAGGTGCAAAGGCGTTTCCCTGGACAAGCGGGATCTAGCACTAGTCCACTTGTCAATACGAGAATCTCACATAACTGAGAATGCGCCGAAGACTCACTCGTCGCTCGCACCAAATTCTTCGCCCGCTCATCGCCTTGGACTAAGTTCGTCAGCAGCGCTAGCGCCAAGCACAATCGATCAAGGGACTGCCCATCCTTCTCATCCCCGTCGGGGGTCATACCGGATGTAGAGGAAGACGGCAGTTGCCCGTGGAGTGTCATTATCAGGCGGAATACTGTCGGTAGAGTGAGCTCATTGTCGAGCAGATAGCTGCTCCATTTGGGGCTGCCATGGGACAGATTCACCGTTACCCGCAAAGCCAGTTCGATGCACTGCTCGGCTTGGAAGAGGTCAGGAGGCTCAATTAATCAGGTCAACACTGCCAACGCCTACCCGTTTCTCTGCCGTCCGCATAGACGTCTGATCGGCATATTATGTCTGCCCCGACCCAGAGCATCACCAGCTCTCGTACGAGGGACTCCTGCGGTTCAGAAGTACCGCCGCTCGTGTCCTGCGATTGTGAGGACTCCAGTGGTGAAGTCCACCGACCGAGGAAGAAGGAATCCAAAAGCGATAGACAATTAGCTATGTGCTGGAACGAGGGCAGTTCGAGCTGGGACGCGGAGGGAACCTTGGGCAGGATGTCTAGGCCAGTCATGTAGGAGGGGATTCGGGAAGAAAGCAGGGCTAGCTCTGACGAGAGTGTGGAATACAGCGATGGTATCTTCGTTGCGTCCAGGAGGTCGCTGGAGACGGAGGAGAGGGCGAGTGAGGCGAGCAGACGCGTGGAGATCTACCGCAGGAAAATGTCGAAATAAGAGCAAGCGGCATTTATGAGAATTGACTCACGAGCACGTCGTAGTCGAATAAGTTTGACTTCTGGGTAACTAGGCTATGGAGCCGACGTAACTGAACACGATTATAACATTTAGCTTGTTTCCGCCCGGAATATGTTGCTACGTGCGTACCATTGTTACTTCTGTGCGACCAAACCCCGCAGCTCGTAGCCGAGCATCGGTAGCTTTGACACTTATGAGCAGCAGTGGATCTTTTTGTCGCTCAGTAAATGTTAATAAGTCAAAGAGGAAGTCCAGGAGGCTAGCACGATCGGCGATTTCGGCCAACGACCTCGACTCCTGGGCGACAAGCGCGGCGAATAGAGCGATAGTGCTATCGAGGACCTGGTAGGCAGTGAATACCCAGTCATGATAGCATCGGATAGAAGTGATGTGCACCTTGTCTCCTTCACCTACGCCTGCGTCGCGGCAGACGTCCCAAGCCCTGCTCAGGAAGTCGGCCGCTTTGGCTTTCCGCGCGAAGTCAGTATCGCACAACTTTGTCACAATCTCCAAGGCGCTGAAATAAGGATAAGCTGAGGCACATCAGATGTCTGTAGGGTCGCCGACCTTCCTCTCCGGACGTTGATTCCCTCGCTCTTATCCAGCCCCTCGAAGAGATACCCCACCTCATCCATGAACCGTCGGCTCTCGCCTCGACTCCGCAAATCCGTAATACTCTTCAAATCATTATACAACCCGTATGACGGGCCAGGAGCGCTCCCGCTCCCGTCAACAACGTCGTCCGAGTTGTCCACGCCGTACCGCGCGCGCAGGTCCGTGTACGACTCGCGCATCTCGGCTTCCTCCTGGGACTGCAGGTGTTCCTCGGCGGCGGCGGGATCGCAGCCCGCGAGCGCGGACATCGGTAACGCGACGAGGAAGGAGCGTGATCTGCCGGCGTAGGTGCGGGTGGGCGGGCGGTCTGGGATGAGGGAGGTGCTCGGTCCTGCGAGGGTGCTTCGGTCGAGGGTGGAGGCCTCATCTAATCCCTTAGTGGGAGACAGCGATCCCCGGACAGGAGAAGACAGGTTATGACTGAGATCCTCTTGCGAACCAGCGTCTACGGCCTGACGCGAGGAAATGGATGCCATAGAACCTGAGGTGCGGGAGAGGGCTCGGGGGCTGACTTCTGGGCTTGGGATTGCAGGCTCTGTGCGTGAGCGTGCGAGCATGCGCTTTGCAATGCCGCCCTCGGGGCGTTTCGCCTGCGATTTCGTGGGGGAAACGGAGGGAGAGAAGTCGAACAGTTTTGAGATATCCTTGGCAGGAGATTTCGGCGCGAGTGGGCCAGTCGATGGGCTAATCCGTTGGGAGGGAGATAGAAGCGGGGTGCTACTCTTTGCGAGATCTTGGAACGCGGGTACGGTGCGCGAGCCGCTTGGTGTCCGAGACAAGTATGTGATGGTGGATTTCGGACGAGACGGAGTGGTAGGCATTGACGCGGAGCAGTTCTTACCTAGCGGGTCCTGATCAGCACCTTCTGGGACATCGCGGGGGGGACTCCCACTCACTCATGTCTTCCATGTCTGTATCGACATCTGTTTCCCCATCATGGCTATCCTGCGGCCTCTTGGCGCGCCCTCCCGCTCTCGCTGTTACAGGTGACTGCACCTTCCCCTTGGGAGACTGGCCTGTCTTTTTCGGGGTAGGACGAGCTTGGAGAGAGGGCGACTTCTTCACCGCGATCGGAGTTGTAGACTGCCGTCGGGCAGGTGAAGGCTCGACCTTGCGGCGCTTCGTCGATGGACTTGGACTGGGAGACGACTCGTCAGAGCTATCCTCGTTTCTCTTCTGAGATTCGTGTTTCCGCTGCGAGCCTCTGCGCCCGTAAGTGGCGGGTCTTTTGGTGATGGACGACATGAGGGAGGAGAGGTAATTAGAGGCGCGTAGAGTAACGTGGCGTGACTGCTACGAGTCGCGGTATACCGTCACGCTCGGTTTCAAGCTCTGAACGCGACCACGACCAGCACCGAGCTCAGCTCTATGGCGTCCATGGAAGTCCTGCAGAACCGCCTCGATTCCTTCAAGACAAAACGCGGAAAGCCTTCGAGCAAGGCGTCCGCATCCTCTTCCAAGAAATGGCCCCATCCCTCTGTGTTCAAGGCGAATCCGGAAACATTGGCGGAAGCTGGCTTCTATTTCACCCCAACTGCCCAGGACAAAGACAATGTCGCGTGCTACATGTGCAAGAAGCATCTCAGCGACTGGGAAGAGGACGATGACCCGCACCGGATACACTGGGCCAAGTGCCAGGATACGTGTCCGTGGGCGATCGTGCGGTGCGGGTTAGAGGAAGACATTGATGAGGACGGAAAGTACGTGTCAATGTGCTCTACACGACTCCATTCAGCAGTTTAACGTGGTTCAGCTTCGTGGCTACCGATGCCAAACGTCTGCCGTCGGGTAAAGCCATGGAGAAGGCGCGGCTGGACACTTTCCGCTTCTCCAAGTCCTGGCCCCACGACTCGGTCAAGAATCACGGTGCAACCTCCAAAAAGGTACACATCCAAATTCTATAGTCCTAGACGAGTATCCTACGATCTTACGCCGCGCGAGCCTGCCATAGACTAACTAACGCCTCCCCGTAGATGGCCAAAGCCGGCTTCGTCTACACGCCCCAGTCCGAAGGCGACGACACCGCGACGTGTCTGTACTGTTCCGTGTCACTCAGTGGCTGGGAGCCGGAAGACGACCCTCTGTACGTCCCGTTCATCGTGCTCCTTCGTACAGTCAATGACACCCTCACGCCAGAGAAGAACACCGCAAGCGCGCGGACCGCAGCGGCAAGCCCTGTCCCTTCTTCAGCGCCACGCTGCCTGAGCCTGCACCTGCACCCGCGCCCGCGTCGAAACCTCCTTCGTCGAAAGCCTCACGCTCCCGTTCACGCACGCGGCCGAAGGTGGCCGAGACGGAGTCTGAGGAAGACGAAGTCGCCACGGGGCCCCCTTCGACGAGTTCGAGTAAAAGGTCGAAGAAGAGCGTCGCATCTAGTCTGACGAAGACGCCCGCATCGAGTGTTGCGAAGACGCCCGCGTCGCGCCGGTCAACGCGGTCTACTGCCAAGACACCCAAGAGCAGGCTCGGGACGTCCGATTTGGAGGACGAAGGGAGTACGAATGAGGGGTCCACGCTTCTGCGGAAGTCTTCGCGGGGGCGTAAGGGGAAGGAGAAGATTGATGTCATCGAAGAGGAGCAGGAGGAGCCGGAAGAGGAGGAGCCAGAACCTGCAAAGCTGACGAAGAAAACCACTAAGGCAAAGACCAGCGGGAAGAGCGGTGGGAAGCGGAGTAAGAAGACGTCGCCGGTTGCGTCGAGTGGTGAGAGCGAGCTGGAGGAGCCCGTCAAGCCACCGTCTGCACCACGTACAAAACTGAGCACAAAAACCAAGGCGAAAAGTAAGAAGCCCCCGGCCGCCGTCGAGCGTGAACCGTCCCCTGTGGGTCAGCAAGATGAACAGGAGGACGAGGAAGAGGAGGGAAATGGAGCTCCTGCCCCTGAGCCCACCGCTAAATCTGGCGCGACCGCTGCGACTGACTCGGAACCAGACTCGTTCGTCACCGCTGGGGACGGTGCAGGGTCCCAGCCGGTTGTCCCGTCCCAGCGTAGCGGTCACGATGAGCGAGAAGATGACGTTGTGGACGATGACGTTCCAATGTCGGGTGGCCTGGACATGCCGCCCGTGCCCGATTCCCTGATTGTGAGTATCTCCAAATCCCAATTGTCCTCGCTGCCAACCCGAAATGTTCCATACCAGCACGGCCATCGCTCAGAGGCTTCTGCGAAAGCCAATCGCTCGCGGTCAACATCGCGGTCAAATGTCAAGGCCGAGGCGGCCGTCGCCCGTGATGCGGCTCTGTCGAAGCTGCAGTCGAATCAACCTACGGACTCTTCGCGAAATCCCCTCGCCAAGACCGAGACTGGCGCATCATCGACTAAATCAAGACACAAGGGTGAAATCACCGTGAAGTCGGTTGCAGTGACCCATACTCCCAGGGAAGACATGGGTGCCCCGGGCAACCGCTCCGCCGATCCCGCGGGCAATCCCTCGACGTCCGACACGCCGCGCGAAGACGGCGCCTCGCGTGCGGGACCATCAAATCCTGCGGATGACCCCTCTGACACATTTGCCCCTCTCATAGAGGAAAGTATCAAGGCAGCGTCTCCTGTGAGTGAAGGAGAGAGACAGATGACCCTGGAGCAGTGGATCAGGAAGGAGATTGATCTGGAGGCTGCCAGGAAGAGGAGGCACATGGATGAGCTCATGAGGATGTTCAGAGAGCAGGCAGTAGAAGTGAGGAGACATATTGAGGCACTAGCAATCATTGACTAGGCTTTGATGCCCAGTTTTGGGTGCACTCATGTACATGTTATATGAAGTTGAGAATATGCAGGTGAAGGGAAATTCACCTGCAGACCTGCTGGAGTGGCAAGCTGTAAGAATTGAGTTTTGGGCTCAACTTTTGTATACAAAATACCACTATAGCCCAGGGACAATTGTGCACTACTGACTCTGGAGGCGTGAGACCGGCCTAAATTTGACTGGGAAGTTCATATGCTAGACATATGAATTCCAACCAGTAGAAGGTTGAAATTGTCCAGCTACTGTATGAAAGATACTGTATCAAATTGTCCCATCATATGGGGAGTTTCGACCCCCCTCAGAATGGTTGAAAATCACCTTTTTCGACCTTTTAGTAGCTTATTTTTGTCTGTTCATAAAAATGACCATTCCTTGATACTTGGGCTCATTGCAGCTGAAGTAGTACAATAACAACAATATATATTTCTTAAATATAATGATACAAGCAGACAATTGGGTATCCAGCTGTCATACTAAGCTGTACATTCCCGAACCTCACCTGCATCTAATCAACATGCTCTGGAAAACTCTGCATGGACACTGGAGAAGTGCTGTCAGCTGTCTGCAGGATACTATGAGATCACTGTCACTCACCTTACCACGAAGGAATGAAGAGAGCAGCATGGATGTCAGTGAAGGTGGCAAGTAACTTCAATACAATGCCTTGCATTGCAAGGCAAGTTGCAGAGCAGCACATGTAACTGTGAGGATCTGCAACACGGGGAGCTCATATCAGTATGGGCAGGTGTATGAGAAAGCCAGCACATACATGAAAACAGGTCATCTGCACAGCTATGTAGACTGCTTCAGCCTTCGTCAATTTCCCTTCAGTGATACACCCAGAACATACCATCAACAGCAGTGCCTTCACCCCTCCAAGGTGCTGACCCTTGGAAATGCAGTCTGACCTGCCAGCAGACACCAGAGAAGACCGGGGGGGCACGAGAGGCAACATCAACGGATATGTTGATCAGAGACAGAGTGAATGTTGGACTTGCAATTGGGATGTGCATCTTATTGGTTTGACACCAGCAATCCCACCGTGTGGCACTGTCTCCATGTCGAAATTTGACCATTCATCACTCTAATTGCCTCACACTACCGTTCAGCTACATTTCGCGGGTAAAGCTCTTTCGACTTTTTTGTAACATTTCTCAGTCAAAAGTACAGAATCAACCAATTTAGGCTGGCCTGGTTCGCTCAGTGTGACCACCATCTGTTACAAGTATGTACAACTTTGTATGGATTTGTATGGTGCTTGTAGGTGTTTTGCTGCAGGTTTATGGAGGGCATGTTGTAGTGATTTGTGGTACTTTTGTGCATGACTTGTACATGATTCGTGAGTGATTGTAGACCATTTTGCACTGATTTTGTGGACATTTGTAGGTGTTAGAGCATTTTGTAGGTGGTTGTAGGGCTAGTCACGCAGGCAGTCCACTGTCTCGTGGTGCGGCAGATGGGCAAGTCAGCGACAGGGAGCGGGAGATCGGAGTGGCAGTGACAGTGAGAGTGAAGGACAGAGTTGAAGAAGTAGAATGACTTGAACCATGGGTGAAGTCGCTCGAGTTCAATCTCCGCTTGAATTCAGTTCGCGTCAGACACATCCCGTCCTTGAATTTCTCTAAGTCCCACACACGGTGATAGGCACTAACACACGACAACACCAAAGACCAAAAGAAATATAACCTAAAACACCCAGCGGTATGGGTGTAGGCGGTCTAAGGCGATTGAAGGGTAATATTTAAGTTCGAAGGGAGGGGGAGAAGTTAGACGCCGTAGGGTAGCCCGTAGGAAAACCTAAAACAAACAAAATCTTGAGGCCTGAAACAAACAGTATAGCGATTCTCCGGAGTATTTATCTCCGAAGTTCGACAGTAACCCGGGTGGGGAGTTCCACTGAACCCGAACAATAGTCTCGTGCCTACAGACGCTTGGTGAATTTTATACTTTAAATCCGGAGCTTACTTGGATCGATATGCGATGGCGGAGTTATCTAGTTTCGACGAGTCCGGCCTATTGGCAAAGCTAGGATTGATTGTAGACGCTAAGTCCGACGCGAAGGGACTCCGAGGGTCGCTGAGACGATAATTCTGG